GACATCATCCTGCTGTGTTTTAGAATGAGAATGAAGGCATTTTGGTTATTTTAGTAAATAAGAATGAAGTGCAGATTTACAAAAGCATTCAAGGGGTGCTTGGGTGGCTCAGTCGGTTGAGTGTCCAACTTCAACTCAGGTCCTGAACTTGTGGTTTGTGAGTTTGAGCCCCGCGTCAGGCTCTGTGCTGATAGCTTAGAGCCTGGAGCCTGTGTCAGATTCTGTGCCTCCTTGTCCCTCTGTTCCTCCCCTGCTCACAGTCCGTCTCTCTGTCTTTCAAAAATAAAGATTAAAAAAAATTTTTTTAAAGCAGTTAGAATAAGTATTGAGATGAACGTTAAGATCCCGAAGTAAGATACCTTTTTCATTGTATTATGGTCTGTTTTCTATTATGAAAAAAAAAAAAACCACGAAAACTCAGCAGCTCAGTATACAATAAGTTAATTCAAAAGAATTATTCTTCATTTTTAAAATGTGGCTCTTAAAATAGAATAGAGTCTTTTGGAATTATGGTAAATACATATGTCAAAATATAGTAAGTATATATGCCAAAAATATTTAGCATATATGATCATTTAATTGAGAAATTAGTTTTTGTTTTATGAGCTAGAGAATTATTTTTTATTCTATGAGTGCTAAAGGAGTAGAAAAAAAGATGAACATTCATAGTTATGTAGAATACAATCTACTGTAATTATTATTATTTTTTTTTAATTTTTTTTTTCAACCTTTATTTATTTTTGGGATAGAGAGAGACAGAGCATGAACGGGGGAGGGGCAGAGAGAGAGGGAGACACAGAATGGGAAACAGGCTCCAGGCTCTGAGCCATCAGCCCAGAGCCTGACGCGGGGCTCGAACTCACGAACCGCGAGATCGTGACCTGGCTGAAGTCGGACGCTTAACCGACTGCGCCACCCAGGCACCCCTACTGTAATTATTAAATAATTAATTTTTAACTGACATTTATTTTATTTTTAAATAATAACCTATCACGTAGTGGGAGAAGTATGGCTTAAGATTCAGAAGACTTGCTTCTATCCTAAGTTTTTTAATTCTTTTTTTCCTTTATTTTAATGTTTATTTATTTATTGAGAGAGTGTGTGTGTGTGTATGCATGCACATGTGCTCATTTGGAGAGAGAGGGAGAGAGAGAGGAGAGAAAGAATCCTAAACAGCCTCCATGCTATCAGTGTAGAGCCTGACATGGGCTCAATCTCACAAACCATGAGATCATGACCTGAGTTGAGATAAGAATCGGATGCTTAAGCCAGTGAGCCACCTAGTCACCCCTAAGTTCTTCAAAGTTTAATTTTGAGAAAGTCATTTTAGGCTTCATTTTACCTACTTGTTGAGAATTTTGTTTGTTTTAAATGAGATTTGACTAGCTGCATTCTGTTTCCAAAACACTTGTGCTTTTGTTATTCTGTGATTATTGTTTTATATTATAATAATGCACTGCTTTAAATGTTTATCTTACTTAGAACTGTTAAAGAGGATATTATATTTTGGACAAACTTCAGTCATGTTTAATGTCCAGCTCCAATACTGCTCATTTTCTGTATCTCTTCATGATCACTTCAGAATTTCTTCTTCACCTGGGCTTCTATAACACTTTATGGTTATTTCTGTTATCTGTCACTTTTCATAATATTACTTACATGTATCTATCTATGGGTTGCCTATCTTTGTATCCTCAAGACACTAAAATACTTTGCAGCCATTCTTAGTTGAATTCTGATGCCTGTATATTTAAATATGAATAGTTATGGGGCACCTGGGTGGCTCAGTTGGTTAAGCATCTGACTCTTGATATTTGGCTCAGGCCATGATCTCAGGGTTGTGGAACCAAGCCCCATGTCAGGCTCCAAGCTGAGCGTGGGGCCTGCTTGAGATATTCTCTCTCTCTCTCTCTCTCTCTCCCTCTCCCTCTCCCTCTCCCTCTCCGTCTCCCTCTCCCTCTCCCTCTCTCTCCCCCCTCCCCCTCCCTCTGCCATCTCCCCCACACACATGGTCTACCTCTCTTAAATAAATAAATAAATAAATAAATACCAGTAGTTAATTCCTAATAATTAACGTAGCAGAAAGTAAAGTTGTGTTCAATAACATTACCACTTGAGAGGTAGTATTCCATGTAATGAATGTTTCTTGTGATTCAAAACGCTTATTTCAGGTATTTAATAAGATTTAATATGGTCTTTTGGTCTTTTACACTATATGGATGGCATAAATGCTTATTTGCATGACTCAAGTACATAGATGGAAGAAGTAATCTTGTCACTGATTGTGCAATCACTAAAGTGGATGATTATTACTGATTACCTCCTACTTGTTCTGTTGCTTTTTGGATCAAAGGCACAAATTTCATAAAATTAAATGTTCTATGAACTATTCATAAGTGTATTTTTATGTAGTAATGTAATTTTTAGCAGTCATTCATAGCCATTTACTAGATGATGTGCCCTTAAGTATAATGAATCAGAATATGATCCTTATTTTGTGAGATTTTCAAATTCTTTTCAGCTCTCCCTCATCCTTATTTTTCTCCCTCATTTAAAAACTTCTTTTGAAGAGCCATATTGATTAATTTATTCAACAGCTGTATATTTAACATCTACTACATGCCAGGAACAGAGTTAGGCATTATTAGATTTGGATGTGAACACGACAGATAAGGTCTGTGTTGTCAAAATTAACAGGTAAACAACAAAATGTTTGCCCATTTTCCCAAATTTACTAATTGCCTCCCATGTGCTAGGCATCGTTCTGGAAACTGCACATACAGTAGTAAAAAGAGCAAAGTCTATACCCTTTTGTAGCTTGCATTCTAAAGGAGAAATGGGGAAATATGTGGGGAAAGCTACCTTTATGTAGGTTGTTCAAGAAAAGCCTTTCTAAGAAAGTGATGTTTGAGCCAAGATCTGAAGGCTGAGAAGGAACTGAAGTAAAAGACTAATTGAGGCAAAACAGCAAAATTGATTATACTGAGAATGAACTCCTGTTTTATGCACATTAGTTTAGTTTTCAAGATGAGAAAGTTAAGGAGTTTATTATTACTTTCATCTTTTCAATAATTATTAAGTAAGGGCATCAGCTGGGAAGTTTTGTGAGAGGGGATAGAGAACAAAGAGGAACAATCTGAGGAGAGAAAAGTGTGAGAAGAGAGATCATTGTGAAATAATCCCTCCAGAGAGCAAGGAACAGACAAACCAGGGAAGCGCATAGGACTTCTGGGCAGTGTCGACAGTCTACTTGTAGGTTTTTTAATCCGGAATTTGAAGTGAAACTAGCATTATGGTTGTGTGGTTTTCTCCAGCTGTAGGCACAGGTGTGAAGAAATGTAAGGTTTAACCAGAGCTGTTTTGTGGTTTTTTGTTTTTTTGTTTTGTTTGTTTTTTTACCCTGGGAGACTCATGGTGGAGAAAGAGGAACAAGAGCGTCGAGGGTGTTTGCAAGGAGATCATAATAACTCAAGCTATAGAATTTATGCCAGGGAAGAAGAAAATGAAGAAAGAATGAAGACTGAATACGGTTGATGGCTATAAAGAAAGTGAGAACTCAATGGATTGGTGGTGTGGCAGAGGTTGAACATTGTAGTTAGACTAGTGTATTTCATGAACCAACATTATTACGTAGTATTAATACCTATTTATTAACAGATGTGTTTCTATGTGTATGCATACACATACAAGCACAACTGCAGTCAACTTTTGTTTTATATTTAATGTTTATTTATTTTGAGAGAGGGAGGGAGAGAGAGAGAAGGGCAGAGAGAGAGGGAGAGAATCCCAAGAGGCTCTGTGCTATTAGCACATAGCCTGACATGGGCTCGAACTCACAAACCATGAGATCATGACCTGAGCCTAAATCACGAGCTGGATGCTTAACTGACCAAGCCACCCAAGTGCCCCTGCAGTCAGCTTTTTGTCATTGGAAAAAGTGAGGTTTTGCAAAGGTAATTGAAAAAATGTGAGGCCCCCAGAAGTTTGGGACCTATTTCTGTTACTTTTTTTTTTTTTTATAATTTTATACAAATGGTTGAATGTAATATAGGGAGAGTATAGGATGTTGAAAATACCACTGGGAAGTCAGAAAACCTGAGATCTTATTTCACATTACATATAACATCACCTTTGTAAAGTCACCTGGATTCATTGGCCATAGTGTCCTAATTATTTCAGCACTGTTCCAGGTATTGGGCATATCATGATACCTGGTAAACATGGGTAAAATGCTATGCAAGTACAGAGGTGGGGCCTCAACCCAAATGGATGAAGAGTGGTCACATTCAGAGGAAATGACATCAAGCCAAGATCTGAAAGATAAGTAGGTGTTGCAATTTAGTAAAGAAACCACAGGCAGAAGTGGAAGGGATTCGTGTATATTAAAATCCTTAAGCAAGAAAAAAAAAATGACCTTAAGGATCCTTAGTGGCCGGTTTGTAGTGACTTAGATAAGAGTTGAGACCTGAGGCTAGAACATTAAGCAAGGACCGACCATATTTTAAAGAACCTGGTAAGCTAATGTTAAAGAAATTTCATGCTAAAAGCAATATGAGGGGACCCATTATTGGGTTTTACATACAGGAGTGGTATAAGACATGATCACTTTAAAGTGTGGGATTTGCCTTGATGATGTTGAATCTTTATCTTTGTGGTTAATTCTAAATTAATTTCATTCACTGTACTAATACCTCAGTATAAAGCAGCACATCAAAGTGATTTAAATATTTTGTTTATTTTAATATGAAAAGAATTAAGAGCAATTAATATGGGACTATATTAAACATAGAAATAAAGCCTTGTTTACAAAGCATTATTACTCTTAGTAATCTTTTTGCAAAAAGAATTGAAATTAAAATTTTCTATAATTCTGAGTACATTTGGTTACAGCTGTATATTTTCCATCATATTAGTGAAGTGTTAGTAAATTTCCCTTGAGTTTATGTTGCCATTTAATATCCCCAATGAGATGTACCTGAAACTGTACTTTTTCTCTCCAGTGATTTAAACTTGTGAGATGCTTCCATTAACTGGAAAAACAATCATCTTTGATAACTTTCCTGATCCTTCTGATACATGGGAAATCATTGAAACGATCGGCAAAGGAACTTATGGGAAAGTTTTTAAAGTGTTAAATAAGAAAAATGGCCAAAAAGCAGCAGTGAAAATTCTGGATCCGATTCATGTATGTCACATTGTTGTTGTCTCCTCCTCCTCCTCCTTCTTCTTCTTCTCCTAATTAACTTTGTTTTTATTTGTATTAAGCAGTTAAAAAATCTGTAAATATCTTGATTTGCCACAATGTCAGTTACAGTAGAAGAAAATGTAAAAAAAAAATGTTAGGTTTTTCTTATTTATACACTTAACATATACAATAGGGACCAAATACAAATAAGTAAATAGATAAATACAGGTCTCAACAGCTCAACAGTTAAGTCAATGTTATTTTAGATTTCAAAAAATTGTAAGAACACAGACTCGGGTCTAGAGGTAATTCTAAAATGTCATCTTTGCCACATCTCTTTTTCTTCCTATATATATTTAGGCTTCAGGCAGAATATCTCTTAAGCTAAATGAGAAATATTTTATTTTAAATTATATTTCTTTCAGAGATGGGAAATTTATTTTCAGGTTTGCTGAAATGTTTCCAAAGCAAAAATGGTACTCACTTATAACCAGGGTGGGTTACCTTGTGAAGAACCGATAATGTGCGTGGAGTCCTTATGGCCTTTTAAGTGATGCCCCAGTAGGGCCCTCTTCTGCTGTTTGTGGAATGGCAGTTGTGATAAGGGAAACTTCCAAGCCTTTTTTTGGGGGGTGGGAGGGGGCTTTCAGAGCATGAAGAAACTGATGAGACTTTTTTTCCCCCTGAGAATGAGAACTGGCTATTTTGTAACATTTTCAGCTCCTGGGAAACATGTAGCTCTCCCCGTAGCACGTTGGGTGAGCCACCATGAGCTCAGTGATCACATAATACCCAAACTTCTATTGAGAGCAGTTTCTTTAGTTACTTGACTCTTGCACAGGTGATGGAGTGTGACATGACAGAAATGATGTGATGTGTGTGAGAAGGACAGGACTCCTAGTCCTTGTCACAGCTCTTATACTAACAAAGTGTAGGACCCTGCAAAAGGTCTCTGGGCCTCTGTGCATCTTAGGGTTGCTCTTTCTTTTTGGATTGTTTATTTCTACTAAACGCATTATAACTACAGTGTTTCTTATTATTTTGAGGAGAGGGGAGGGAGAGTGGGGGTTTATTTTCAGCAAGAAATTAGATACACTGGAGGGGAAAAAAAAAGAACTATGCCTGGGCTTTACTGATGCTGAATGTTTTCATATTCTCTAATGGAAAGTTCTTATAAACTGGAGGAGGAGAGACACAAATTAAGCTGTACCAAAGTAACTATAACTCTCTCCTCTGGTCTACATAATTATGGTTTAGGGTCATGGTGGTAAGGGAAAGGGCTCTGGCCAGATCCCGTGTCTGGCCCTGTAACCAGTGTCTCTTCTTTTCTTCTACTCCTTAGTGGAGAAGAACACATGAATTATGAATACAGATAGCCATTATCCTTTTATAATTTACTCATGTTTTGTATACTTTGAACCTTAAAAATCATCTTTTGTCCTATTGCTTTAATGAAATATCTGTTGATTTCGTGAGATTTGTTCTTTTGCTGCCTTTATTCTTGTCATAGTACATATATGTTTTTCTGAGAATTATTTATTTCCTCTTCATTCATCATGTCAGAAGTCAAATAAAAAAGATTTATAACCAAGAGATTATAATCTTAATAAAATAAATTTAAATGCGTCTGAGCATTTTACAGAGTGGCTTTTTTATTAAAAGAGTCTTACTATTATGAATTTTGATAGAGTAAGTGTCTATCCAAGAAAGGGATAAAATGAACAGGATTAGAAGGTCATAGGCATTAGACTTGCAGTCTCATTCTGGATCTTACACTAACCAGCTCTGTGACCAACTTCTCTGAGCTTTAGTTTCTTTTTCTAAAATTAGAGCTCTGGTCTAAAATTCTTTGCAGCTCTGTGATTACATGATTTTGTAAGAAAACAACGTGGATGCTAAGTATTACTATAAAAACAGTAGTAGAAGGGTTTCTCTTATTACTACTCTGAGTTGTTTCATATTTTGTGGTTTTCTAAAAGCATGACTTTAAGTGGTTATCTTGCATTTTTGTTGACACGATAGCGATGTATTCTACTTCTGGCAAATGGGCCTTTACCTAACTTAAGGCTGTGTGCCATCTTATATACGTAGGAATTTATTGCTTATATGACTAGTTTTTGAAAGCTTCTAAATATCCTATATTTCAAAGAAACAAATGAACCAGCTAAAAGTATTTATTTCAAATCAGTGGCTTCAAAACAGTGGCCACTAAAACAGTGTTAACACTGCAAAGAAAGGAGTATCTTTTGGAATCTCCATGTATGTTTCTTTCTAACTACATACAAAAATAGTCTTTTATTTGTCCCTTTGTAACTCAAGGAAATTAACATAATTAGAGATGTATTTGATTAGCAGGAAAATCACAATCTCTCCCCTTAAATAATGGCATCAGAAATTTCAGTGCCTACTACTGAGCATAATAAAACCTATTATTATAACCTTGCTTTGACAAAATTAAATTCTCTATTTGGTGGTCTACAGTATGTGCCTCTTTGACATAATTCATGTTTTTCTCATGGTTTTCTTTTTATGACCTTTTGAAACTAGGACATTGATGAAGAGATTGAAGCAGAGTATAACATCTTAAAAACGCTTTCTGACCACCCTAATGTGGTCAGATTCTACGGGATGTACTTTAAGAAGGATAAAATAAGTGGAGATAAGCTGTGGTTGGTTCTTGAGGTAAGTGTTTCAACATTATTCTATGTGTAGAAATTTACTGTGTGGTCTTGGAATGACTGAACGTTTGTGTAACATCAATACCATAAAACCATGGTTCCTTTAGTATGTTCCCGACTGCTCATGGACTCAATAGAATGTTGTGCCCCATTCTGGCCCTGTGGCTTTAAGACACAAGAGGACATTAAAGAAAAGCCCTAAAGGCTATTAAAGACTAAAAGGAGACATCTCCACGATAAAAGACTCAATAAGCGAGAATTATTTTCCTTGCAGAAGAACAAGCTTAAAGGGACTTCATTATAATATTTATTTATTCATCTGCATTTTGCTTGGCTAACATGCGACTGAGGCTCTGTGCCAGGTGCTGGATATAATAGAAAATTAGTGTAAGTGAGGCTTCATTAGACAAAAATGGTAAGCTGCGAGGTTTTTTTCTGTCCTCATTGAATACTAATGATATAAACTACAGAACCAGGTATTTACATTTATGGAGTAAAAACCTTATTAGAAATGGTATTGAATGCTGAATAAGTTGCCAAAGGGAAGCTGTAGAGTCTCCTGAGAGTAGGTTTGGACAATTCTATCTAATGCGGAAATACTAGAAGGTGCTCTCTTAAGGGAACTGCCAGTCCCAGAAGAATGTAGTTTTTCTCATTTTCATTGAATATGATTGAAGTGAGGTAATCATTAATTCTAATAAAATTCATAAGCATTTTTATTTTTGAACAAAATTTTTAATGTTTATTTATTTTTGATAGAACACAAGGTGGGGGGAGGAGAAGAGCGAGAGGGAGACACAGAGTCCGAAGCAGGCTCCAGGCTCCGAGCTGTCAGCACGGAGCCCGACGTGGGGCTCGAACCCACAGGCAGTGAGATCATGGCCTGAGCTGAAGTCGGACGCTTAACCGACTAAGCCACCAAGCGCCCCTTCATAAGTGTTTTTATTAGTTGCTTTTATCAAACTCAGGACTGGTAAAACCTTTACTGGATCACTGTAGTAGCGTGCATTTATTGTGTTCATTATGATTTTATTAGCGTTTGGTTATTGTATTTCTTTCAGAATGTTCTGTTGGTTTTTCTGCAGACATACGTGTAAATTGTATTGTTTTCATACTTTATATTTTTTCTATTCTTTAAATGATTTTTTAATGATTTGAAATAAATGATCATTGTAAAAAATACTTGAAACTATAAAAAGAACATTATGTACGTTAACATTTAACATATTTCCTTCATCTTTTTGTCTGTGTTTCAAATGATTGGCAATATCATTATTATGAAGTTATCCTACTTTTTTCACTAAATATAATTGCAGATAAACTTAATCATCTTTATCTTTTTCTGAATAAATACATTCATTTGGTTAGTAAAAAGCAAGTAGAACCAAAAGACTTATAATCCAGAGCAATAACAGCGTAGATCCAGTTTGGTGGTGTTAACTTGTCCCGAGCACGTCTGTGCTTTGGATGCATACCTGGAAACGCAGGGCTGAGCTTCTCTTCTCTTTCATTTTCTAATCTGTGTCCTGAATTTTGGCAAGGTATTAATTGTGCTTCTGGAACCCTGCGTCCTCCTGCTCCACAGTGGAGTTCTGCCGAGCATCAGACCTTTCTAATCTCTCTCTCTCTGCCGCTCACCTATGTGGGATCCACTGTTCCCCAAATCGCTTGGCCTCCCCTTTCCAAGTTGACTTTCCTATTTTACATACCACGTAGTAGTGTGTGCCTCATTCTCGTTATCCACTCTACTGATGTCACCAAATCTCATGTCCCTTCAGGTCAGTTTCTCTAGGGAATAAAATCTCCAGTCTCTTGCCTGGATGTGTGTGTATGTGAGAAGTACTCTGGCAGGCTTCTGGATGTTGGTATTTTATATGTGAGATAAGAGGTTGTCAAGTCTTTTGATTCTAACCAAACTTCCAAAGGGTCCCTTGTTTTCTACCCCACCTCTCCCAACTCCTGGGTTAATCTGCTCAGGGGACCACAAAATAGCTCTCACCTACTGCTTTATTTTGTGGCTTCCTCTGCACTGCCAAATTGGTCACCACTGGGCCATCTGCTTTCCATGTTGAAAAATTTTATTGAACTCTCTTGTCTACGGCTCTCCTTTTTTCCATTCTCTTTTTTTGTGTGTGTGTGTGGTTTATACTTTTTGATTCTATTACTAACATTTTAATGGAGATTCATGAATGAGAGGAAATAAATTTATATGTTTAATCTGCCACTTTAAATTGAATCATAGAGCCTTTCAAAATTGTAAAATAGTATTTTCAGGAACCTTTTCAAAATGTGAAACTGTATTATATTATTTTATAGAAATTTAAAAAATCTAAAAAAATTTTTTTCATATTTATTTGTTTTTGAGAGAGCTTGGGTGAGGGAAGGGCAGAAAGAGAGGGAGACACAGAATGTGAAGCAGGCTCCAGGCTCTGAACTGTCAGCTCAGAGCCTGATGTGGGGCCTGGACTCATGAACCACAAGATCACAACCTGAGCTGAAGTTGGACACTTAATTGACTGAACCATCCCGGCGCCCCGAAATCAAGAAAATTTTTAAATAACCAGTTGTGTTCTTTAAAAATAGGCAATGTATTATGATTTCAAAATTACTTTTTCTCTATTGAGATTGCTTTATATTTTTAATTAAGTCACATATTAAAACAAAGCAAAACTTTTAGTCCTCTAAACTTTACCTAAGTGATAGAATATAAATTAGGAACTGAAAACATTTTTCCTTAAATAAATGGAGAATTTTCTAAGTTTACCTCATGTTTGTGTTTGTATATTTGAGATGTAATTCTGTGCAGACCCTTAATGCAGTCTTGAATAAAATTTTGAATCTTTATATCCTTCAAATTTGTATTTATTTAAAAAAAATTTTTTTAATGTTTATTTATATTTGAAAGACAGAACATGAGTGGCAGAGGGGAAGAGAGGGAGACACAGAACTCATAGCAGGCTATAGGCTCTGCAGTGTCAGCGGGCTCGTACCTGTGAACCGTAAGATCATAACCTGAGCCGAAGTCGGACATGTAACTGACTGAGCCACCCACGCGCCCCCTCAAAACATTTTTAATAATGCATCTTTATTATTTTTCCATATGGAATCATTGGTAGATTAGCATTTGAATGGAAACTCCGGTATTCTGCCTACTGTAGGCCTAAATGGGCAAGGGCACAAGATACAGTTCTTTGCCCAGGGTTTAAAAATATTAAATGGGATCGGTCATTGTCTTTTATGCCTATCAAATCTATATTATAATTATATTGTCATTTCTCAGTATTGTCAGTAGGAATTAGGTAAGAGTTGGAGACTCCTGATCACAGTTAAATGTTCTTTTGTGAGAGGAGAGAAGATTGATTAAAAAGGTTTGGAACATCCAGTACAAGTAAAGCAGCTTCCTGATAACAATGAATCAGTAGGAACTTAACAGCTTCTTTGAACTTTCTTCTTGTATTTTATTATCACATGGAGGAATTGGAAATATCCCTAGATGGCTTGAGAGAAAAAAATACTGGTAGTTTATTAAAATGGTATTTTGGAAGTCTGAATTAATCTGAACTTAGAGTATGAGGGAAAAAATAAAGGAAGAAGTTGGCCAACTGTATATAAGATAATTGATTTACATATGTAAATTATACTAATCACATATATACATAAGTGGCTAGATGCACAATTACCTGCTTTATAAACATGAATGGTGCAGGTGCTGCTTTAGAAGCACTTTCAGAAAATTGGCTTGTGGCATCAATACTTTATTCTACAAAATGACTACTAATTATACCTCTTATTGTAAGAAAGCCCAAATAAATTACTTTGCATGAGGATAGGAAAAAAGTGGCCAGAGAGAGGATCTGATATTACCCAGAGTCATGCTAACAGCGCTGGGCTTCTAATGTGAATCTTCATAGGGTATGTTCTGCAGGGGGTGAGCAGTTGGTGACACCCCTCATTATCAGCTGGGCATGTGGGGAGGTGATTCCAGCTTGGACAAACTCCTTTTCACCATGAAATATCATTTTATGTCTATTTCAATCCAGAGTTCAAATCCTAAGATAAATGATATTAACTCAGATCTTACTGGGTTATTTTCTCTATTCTTTCTTTGTGATTCCTAAATTATTTCGTTTACTTTGATATAATTTTTCTCTTTCCTGTATTTTTCCTTTGTATTTCCCTCTCCTTTTGTTATGAGTTTCTCAGCACGAATAATATACAGGGCCTTGTTCAGGAATTATTTCCTTCTGAATTCTCTGTATGTTCATTTTCAGATGCTAATTGTTGCCCAGATTTAGGAAGAGAGTACTCGTTGCTAGGTCTCTGAAATTCCAGTTGCATATTTGTAATGAAACTATCTAATAAGAGATAGGGTAGGAAGTTTTCTGCTGTGGGAACTGATGCAATGTCTACGGGGATTTTTACTGTCACTTAGTATTTTAGGTTTTCCTAATGATGTAGGCATAAAGGGAGAACTTAATTTTTTTTTTACTTCTGCCTTATTTTTAAAGATCATACATATCTTCATTTCTACTTACTGTTACCATTCTGGACTGACCTGCTTAGTTAAATGTGGATACCGCTTTTGGCTTTGTGTTTCCTTTAACTGCTAAGAGTCAGTAGCCAGGATGGAGGGGGGCGAGCAAAGTGGCAGTTGGTTAGGTTTCTGCATATGCTTATCACTGACCCAGGAGACTAAAAAATAAGAGTCAAAATTGAGTTCAAAGGGTCTGGTATTAAGCATTTGCTATTGATGAACACAAAGGGAAAAATTGAGATTTAACTAGAATTTTCCCCTTCTCGGTTGGCCAAACAGCCACATTTTAAGGATGTAAGGAATCCAGTCTCCTGTCTTGGGGGCCCTTTGCTTGGTGTGTCCTCTGCCATAATGGGGTTGAAATTCAGAGTTTGGACATCTTTCTGTTAAGAGACCCTTTCCCTCGTAATCCAGTCTTAGCTATAACTGCTTCTTTCATGGTGGTGCTATAGATTGCGTTGTTATTTATC